TAGAAATCAGTTCTATTTTTGCAACAAGTTGTTCAAAAGATCAAAGTAACTACAAATGTTGCTAGTGTTGCCTAGTGTATGGGGGCTTTTAGCAGCATAGTGACAACTCTATGCTGTATATTTTGATCTATGATTATAAGGGAATTTGAGTTTAGTTCTATTTTCCATATACAAAGCCCCTCATACAGGCAAAATGCTGTCAGCAACAAGTTGCCTGTATGAGGCACTTATCAATTAATAACCAACATCTGGTGAAGGCAACATTGTAAGTATACTGTGATTGTTGAATGGAATTATTTTGTTGATGTTAGATCAAAGTAATCACAAAGTTACCTTCAACAGTAGATGGTGACAGAACACTGAGTCTGAGGTACCAATACCTATGTATAATATCTATGTTTAAACTTACATGAATGAGATACACCAGATATTCACTAAAAATAAATGTAAAGCAGCAGAGTGTTAATTTCCATCACAGGAGAGGATTTGGCTTGCTAGCAGCTGCTTGCAAATTGATGGAATGTGCCTTATGTGGACTGCTTGCAAATTGATGGAATGTGCCTTATGTGGACTGCTTGCAAATTGATGGAATGTGCCTTATGTGGACTTTGTGGAGGGGTAAAAAGGCTACAAATCACATGAATTTGATATACATGTAGATGTACATATACAAGACTGACCCAACACAAACACATGATTAAGTCCATTAATTATTGTAAACTAAAGTATATACTAATATATATTGTCCAGTTCTGTCATTGTCTTTAAAGTGAGTATTAAACAATTTAGCAGCCTATCATACAAAAATTGAATGGACTAACCATTAAAATAAGTACCAATAGTCTATACCTGTACATATGAATTGTTGTCTAGATATTCTTCAATTTTTGATAACAGAACATCATAAAACACAATATGAATGGGCATGTCTTTAATATTAATTAATAACCAATCAATAGGTGATGAGTAGAACTCTCTTTCCATATTAGGAAAACCACTATATA